GGGAAGCGGCAGTGGAAGCTCAAATTCTTGGGTCTCTGCACCCACGTGGGAGAGCTGGATTGAGCTCCCAGCTCCTCGCTCCGGCCTCAGCCCAGCCCTGGGCACCAGTGGGCATCTGAGGAGTGAACCAGCAGATGGGAGAGCTCCACTGGCCTCTCTCTCTTTCTCTCTCTAATAAATGAAATAATAATAAATTTAAAAAAAAAAAAAAACCTTACCAACCTAAACACTTAAGACTTGTACACTTTACTGGCTGTAAGCTGACCATAAGCAAACAGCCCTAAAAACCCACAAACCACCAATCTTGCTGTAGAGTGCAGGGACTGACTACAGGAGGCCAACAGTGAGGCAGGAAGTTGCTCCTCCAGTCCCCAAAGAAGCATGGCACCAGGGAGGAGACCCTAGGGGAAGGAAGGATCAACTTGAAATATGTATTTGAAACAAAGCCAAGAGGACTCACCAGTGGAAAAAAGACCCCCAGGCCAGAGGCTGGTTTAGGTCAGTGGCTGCTGCTGAATTCCAAGGAACACGCTTGTCTCTGTTCCTTACCTGTAGCTCTCTGTATCCTGAATTCTGTCTCAAGCATTCTCTGAGCCAGAATGCCGAAGCTGGAAAGAAGCGCTTCACCCGTATGCTTGCTTCCACATTAGCAAAGCGGGGATTTACAAAGTTTCATGTGCAACAGGCTTAGGGCAGCGTTGATTAAGGTCACCAAGATCACAAGGAGCAGATCACTGTGCTTGTCCCCCGCTCCCTCAACCTTCCAGGTCAGTGGTTTGGCCGTTTCTTTTCTTGGTGCTACTCTTTTCTAGGAAAGGAATAATTTCCTACAAGAGCCTAGACACTTGGGGTCAGCAGGGGCGTGCCCGTGTCCTGTGCTGGCGTCTTCTCAAGTCCTCTCTCTCCTTTGTTTTCAGTGCTGTCTGCACCCATTCCTTGATTTCTCCCTAACGCAGGCTTCAGCCTGTCCTGTTGGATGGAACACAGCGCCCTAGGAGCTGCTCTCTGCCTCTCACAACTCCACTTAGCTTTCTCCTTGTTCTCAATCTGTCCTGCTGGCCAGCCTATCATTTCACTCTCATCAGACGGAGCCCCTGGGGCCAGTGCTGTGGCATAGCGGGTTAAGCCGCCGTCTGCAGTGCCAGCATCCCATGTGGACACCGGTTCGAGATTCGGCTGCTCCACTTCCGATCCAGCTTTCTGCTGTGGCCTGGGAAAGCAGTAGAAGATGGCCCAAGTCCCCGGGCCCCTGCACCCACTTAAGAGACCCGAAAGAAGCTCCTGGCTCCTGGCTTTGGATTGGCACAGCTCCGGCAGTTGCGGCCAATTGAGGAGTGAACCAGCAGGTGGAAGACCTATCTCTCTCTCTCTCTCTACGCTTGCCTCTCTGTAACTCTTTCAAATAAATAAACTAATCTTTAGAAAAATAAATAAATAAATAAATAGAGCCCAGCCTCCTTTTTTTTTTTTTTTTAAAGATAGAGTTAGACAGTGAGAGAGAGACACAGAGAGAAAGGTCTTCCTTCCGTTGGTTCACCCCCCAAATGGCTGCCACGGCCGGCGCACTGCACCGATCCGAAGCCAGGAGCCAGGTACTTCCTCCTGGTCTCCCATGCGGGTGCAGGGCCCAAGCACTTGGGCCATTTTCCACTGCCTTCCCGGGCCACAGCAGAGAGCTGGACTGGAAGAGGAGCACCAGGACAGAACTGGCTCCCCAACTGGGACTAGAACCCGGGATGCCGGCGCCAGAGGCAGAGGATTAGCTTAGTGAGCCACGGCGCCGGCCCCCAACCTCCTTTTTATACCATCACCTCTCACCACCCTCTTTTGTAATCGCTTAGTCCTGAGATACCAAGTCAAAAAGACATCTTCAATGTTCTCTCATAAACATTTGTTCACAACAAGAATTCAAGCTACACTGGGGATGTTAATAAGAGCTAAGCCAACATAAAAACTCAATACACTCCATGAGGGTGGGGACAGCATCACTCTTACACATCCGGCACTCAAACATCAGACACTGTCAATAATTACCAAATTCAAGTCTGAGCAGCCTGAACTTGAAGAGCCACCAGAAACTAATAACATAACCACGATGCAGACAGCAGGGAACGGATCATCAAGTTAACAGACTGCAGGAATTAGGGGGAAAGCAATTGCTTCAAATAATGCACTTGACCAGTAATGCCATTAAACCCAGGAACAGAGCCCCTAACTACACAGAACCCCAGACTGGCCCTCTGTTACCTGCCTGCTACCTTCACAGGAACCAACAGCGCAAACCTACCTGAAATGAAAAGGACCCAGGATTGTGGCCTCCCCAGGGCCTGTGCATGCCTCTCCCCCAGGCACCCCTGCAGCAGAGGGGCAGCCAAAAGGCATCCTTTTCAGTGGAGTTTGGGAGCTAGAAAATCCGATGCATGAGCTGGAGGTCCCTCAAGGTGTAGAAGCAGCCAGGAGTGGAAACCAAAAGGAGGACAGGCTGGAGGCTGCCACTCTGGTATCACACACCCCAGCATGGAAGGACCAGGCGTCTAAGGAGTCTAATTCCAGACCTGGCCTTCTGGGTGGTGGTGACGGCTTCACTGTCAACCATGGTGGCAAGAACATTTTACTTCACGGTTTGTTAGCTTGCTTTATAGTGTTCCAATAGTGCGCCAGATGGCGGATGTATCTTCATTTGCAGCCTTGCCCTGGGTTTCCCAAATCTTAAGAGTGAGTCTGCATAAGGGTCCAACCTAGGGTATAAGCAACCAAGCCATAATGAGAAAATGAGCACACTCTGCTATAGCGTTAGTCTGCAGAGGGAAATGGCATTGTCCCTGCTGCCGGACCACCAGGTTTCCCACCCAGGCTCCACTTACTAGAGCCATGTGACCTTAGGCAAGCTGTTTCACCAGTTAGGCTGTGCCTCAGTTTCCCCAACTATAAAGTGGGAATAACAGACCACTACCCCTTAAGTCTCTTAAAAGGATTCCAGGGCCAGCATCGTGGCATAGGGGTAAAGCTGCCACCTGCGAAGTCAGCATAGCATATGGTCACTGGTTCCACCCTAATTGCTCCACTTCCAGTCCAGCTCTCTGCTGATGCAGCTGGGAAAGCAGAAGAAGAGGGCCCAGGTCTTTGGGCCCCTGCACCCATGTGGGAGACCTGGAAGAATCTACGAGCTCCTGGCTTTGGTCTGGCACAGCCCCAGTCATTGCAGCCATTTGGGGAGTGAAAGAATAGATGGAAGATTTCTCTGTGTGTGTGCAAATCTGCTTTTCAAATAAATAAAAATAAATATGTATTAAAAAAAGAGGATTCCATGTGTTAATATATGAAGTGTCTGAAGCAACCTCCGAAAAACATAGTAAGCATCACAAAGGTTGTGTAAAGAACAAATGTGTGTGGAGAAAAGAAAGGAGCTACAGGAAATCAGGTTCCAGTCTCACACACAATAGCTAAGACCCAAGCCTTAAAACTACCATAGCACCAAGACACAATGAGTTAAGACTGAGACTTTGTCTGGAATCCTGATCCCAATGGAGGGAACTTCTTTTAAAAAAAATTATTTATTTTGTTTGAAATTCAGAGTTACACAGAGAGAGGAGAGGCAGAGAGAGACACACAGAGAGAGAGAGAGAGGTCTTCCATCTGCTGGCTTACTCCCAATTGGCCACAACGGCCTGAGCTGTGCCGATCCAAAGCCAGGAGCTTCTTCCGGGTCTCCCACGTGGGTACAGGAGCCCAAGGGCTTGGGCCCTCCTCTACTGCTTTTCCAGGCCATAGCAGAGAGCTGGATAGGAAGTGGAGCAGCCAGGACTTGCACTGGCACCCACATGGGATGGCGGCACTGCAGGTAGCAGCCCTAACCGCTATGCCACAGTGCCAGCCCCCAGGAGGGAACTTCTAAGGAAAGATGTTTCCAACTACTCAACTCACAGACAAAGTCTGGGAAAAAACTGTGATCTGAGAGACTACTTGCAAATGTGGAAGTAAAAACCATGAGTTTTAAATAATAAGAACCCTGTATATAAAGTGGGCAAAAAATACTATTCATACCATGAAATTAAATAGTGGATGCCAGTACTGTGGCATAGCAAGTGAAGCCACTGCCTGCAGTGCCAGCATCCCATAGGGGCACTGGTTCGAGTCCCAGCTGCTCCACTTCTGTTCCAGCTCTCTACTATGGCCTGGGAAAGCAGTAGAAGATGGCCCAACTGCTTAGGCCCCTGCACCCACGTGGGAGACCGGGAAGAACTCCTGGCTCCTGGCTTCAGATCAGTGCAGCTCCAGCTGTTGCTGCCATCTGGGTGTGAACCAGCAGATGGAAAACCTCTCTTTCTCTCTGCCTCTGCTTCTCTTAACTCTGCCTTTTAAATAAATAAATAAATCTCTCTAGAAAAATGAAATTAAATAGTGAATAAATACATGGACTTATTATCTGCTCTAATAAACAAAAGACAAGCAAAAAGCAAAGCAAATTTAGAACACTATCCTTCTTCTGTCACAGTTAAGTCACCAAAATCAGGGTGGCCAAGGTGAAATCTGTCATTCGTTCATCAAACGTGCATCACGATTAGCCTACTTGTAAAAACACCCCCGATTTAGTCTGTAGAGAGAGGCTCACAAGTTAAGCCTCTTGTCTGTGGCATAGGCGGGGACTTACAGCCACATCTTAACTGCTCAGCACACACCCTTGCGAGTATGCCACGAAGCCTGCATGTTTACACAAAGCAAATAGCAAGAGCAGGACACAGAAAGAAAGCTACTTCCTGCGGGGTGGAAATAAGCTGTCAGTGTGGTCACTGGCACATAACAAGAATGGCTTCATCAGCTAATCTATTTTTTAAATTACATGGAGAGAGGAGGAATAGTTACTCCATCCGTGAAAGCAAAATGGGAGTGTTTCAAACTAATTGCAAGGCATATGCGTATAAAAGATGATTAATAAAGTTAGGGAGAGGAGGGTTATTTTGCAAAATATCTACTATTATAATATTTTTCAAACGATAAGAGTGCTCACTTTGGCAGCACATATCGTAAAACTGGAACGATACAGAGATTAGCATGGCCCCATACAAGTATGATATGCAAATTCATGAAGCATTCCAGGTTTTTATATACAGTGTGTGCTGAGAGCAACTGGGAGCTTAAAGTATCCAGCATATTTTGAAGCTGAAATCATTTCTTGGTTAACAAATAAGTTTATAGAAATTCATCATAATAGCAAAAAACAGAAGAGTGGGATATTTCTTTTCACTCCGAAATTAGGCCTACAGAAGTACTTGTACAGCTACTAGTTAATAGGTATAGTAGAGATAATTTGCATTATATATACATTATATTATATATGAAAGGATGTTCATTTCAGCATTATCTATAACAGCAAAACAATGCAGTCAACCGAAATGTTGATCTGTAGAAAGAGTGGTTAAATAAATTAGAGCGGATCCTTGTCACTGAACCTACAGCTGTTAATCAGATAGCCGGGTCTGCATGAACTGAACCAGAAGGGACTCCGCCTGTCTGCAAAGCGGCATTCCCCTACCGAGCATCTGTGAAAGACTAGCGCGGAGAGGATGCTTGTGTGTGTGTACGAAGGTCTCAGACGAAAACAGGAGGGAATGCAGGCACTTTTCTTATTTGGTGCTGACATTTCACGACCACAATGTACATCTTTATAATTTTAACAAGGTTGTTGCAGAACAATTTGAAAATTTTACTTTCACTTGCTCATTGTCTCCATTCTGTTTCTGTCATTCAGAATGCCTTGGCCTCCTGTCTTCTCCCGGTCAGATTTTTCTCCCTTTAGCATCTGCTCGGACTGTTGTTTTCTTCTCGCGATACGTGGCAAATGGTGTGCAATTTTTCTTAGGTCAAGGACAGCCGCATGTACATGGACTAGGTTAATCACACACACAAGCCCCAACCCATTGGAGCATGGACCTCTCCAAGGCCACCTAGAACAATCCATGTTACTTGTGCAAGGTCACAGACCTTGTTAGGAAAAGAAACCACACTAGAGAAGTCTTTCTCTATCTCCACATTTTTTTTAAATCACATTTTGATAAAAACAAGGCCAAGGAATGCGATCTTCTAAAATGCTAGAGCAATGAAGACAGTCTTCCTAAGAGTTAGGATAAGGTTTTGGGTGGGGCCTTCGAGGCCAACAAAGCAGCATGGACAATAAAGTCGGAGCTTCGGGTTCGGTTTTGTTGTCCTCAGCTTCAAACCCACTGCAACTCTCTATTGAAAAATGCACTCAGGAACCTTAGGAAGTGAGAAAGAGGTATGTTTTGGTGAAGAACACATTCAAACTCAATGTTCTAGGCTCAGTCATAAACTAGACACTGTCTTTTATTAGCTGTGGCACCAATACCATCATTGCAGAGAGCAAGTGATCTCCAACACATCTGTTGGAGACTTCTCCAGGAATGCCTCCAACTGGACTTAGAATGCTGTAACTCTTCTTCGATAATAATAAACTACGGCTGGGTTCTCTTTCATTGTAAGTCTATCCACATCAATACATATGGACTTACAGATTGTCTTCTACATAGAAGATAATATGAAATTAACACACGAACCATTCAAGTGCTACCTTAACTGCTACATTTCCATTATCCTAGGTTTTAAATAAAATATGAAAGAGAAGATAGACAGATTCTATTATTTCCCTTCCACAGTAGTAGAAGAAATCTTTGCTTCTTGCTAGAAAAATACACACACACACACACACACACACGCACATATCCTCTGTTAGCTCTTCTCTAAGGATCTGAAAAGGGAAAGCTTAATATATTTTACGTATTTCAGTGACCGAGCTTTATTTACTGTTAGGAAAAACATTAGTGCCAGACAAACCAATACAACAGAAGAATAAATCCTTAAAAAATCCATACATTACTCGTAAAATGTGCCTTGCCTTGATTCTTATTAGTGCTTAAAATGCCTTTTATATTTGTTTAAAAAGAAGATATAGGGAAAGCTAAGTGAAAAATAGGATTTACAGCCCTGTTAAAATATAACACAACACACCAAGGAAAACAGGGAAATAGCATGCAATAGTCTTTTTGCTCATTTTTTGTTTTTAAAGGAAACTGGCTAGTTCTAACTAACACCTGAAGTTTAACTCATTCAATAAATACCTATTGGGCAACTACCATTCACCGGGCATCACACTGAGCCAAAGGAGTCTAACATGTACTGTTTCGGATTATTTCAGTTCTACAAAGTTCTCCCACTGTAAACTTTCAGATTTTAAAAACAAAATGCCAGGAGTCCTCTTTCCAGGTATTTTGCACTTTAAAAATTCTTCAAGAGGAGCAGTTCCAGTTTTATCTGTATGGGTGTGGTTATCTTAGGAGCACTCCACTCCCCCACAAAAGGACAAAAGCCAGGCTTTCTTTTAAACCAAGAACACACATTTCTGATTAGAGCATCCCAGCCTATGCAGCCCCAACCATTCACCAGTGTTTGCAGACACGGGTATCACATCTGCACGGGCTCCAGTGGAGACTGGGGGACCCAGGGCACGGAACCCACCTTCAGACAGCTGCAGAAGTGACCACCCCTGGGGAAAGGCGCGTCCATTGTCTTCTGTCTCTTCAAGACTGTACAGGTTTGTTGGTTTGCTTTCTCACTTAATGACTAAGAACAAGATTTGATTTAAGCTGCATCCATGGAGCCTGTGCCCGTGGAAATGCACAAGCCAAGAATTCCACCTCAAAACTGTCAAGAAAAACTCAACCCTTAGGTACCAGTCCATTATGATAAGTCTTTTAAAAGACAGGTCCCCTCACCTTCTTATTCTAAAGAGATAAAAAGGGACAAAGACACTGATGGGCCATGTAAATCTTTCATAAAAGCAATGACTTTCTAGGGAGAAGAAAGAGGCAAACAAGTAAGTAAGTTTCTTCAAATCGTGGCTCTCTGGTGTGTCGAGCTCCTGGAGCCACTCCCAGCTGTGCTGGCTTCTTTGTGTGAGGCTGGGGGGGGGGGGGGCGCTGACCACCGGTGATCGCACTGCAGTGACTGGGAGGCGCGTTCACATCCCTGCCACGCACGCCAGCAGCGCTGACTAAGCAAGGTGGGATTAATTAGCCATCCTCCTCTCAGTTCCGCTAAAGCCCCAAGCAAAAAACACAGACATGGCCTCGAACACGCTGGCACCTATGAAAATGTCTTAATCACTTTCAAACATCAAGCAAATTCTTGGAGGGGGGAAAAATCTACATTTTCAACTCCATTCTGGCGCTGCCTAAAAGCATTCATTTCCAATAACTACTACGAGCACCAGGCCACGAAGCTACTAAAATTAACTTCTACAGTTTTAGCTTTGCTGCGTTTGAATTTTATTCAAGATTTTTAAAAAGGTGTTCAAGGACGTGGAAAGATGAAAAGAGACAAGATTTATTGTTCTGCACTGAAAACTGAATTTCAAGATCTCCAGGCCAAACACTACCAGAAGTAACTTCATAGGCAAAATTTCCATCTGACCCATTTGCTAACCAACAATTGTTGGACCAAAACAAACGGCTGGTGGTGTCCTCAATTAGTAATGAAGTTCAATCTGATTCTTCTTTACAGCTATTATCTTCCTACAGAGATAAGTGCTAAACAACTCAACCAAACCAGTCTGGATGTCTACATAATGACTTTCCAGGTCAATGAGGTAGTCTACTGATTTCATCTGCAAAAGGGCATTAAAAAACAAGAAAATCTGCCCTCCTTCCTTGCCACCCCGCAGTGGAAAATACAAATGTACAACTTGGCGAGTTCATCATAAATTCCGTGGAAGGGAAAGGATGTGCAGGTGGTGCCACTGACAACAGATGGCAGGAAAATAATCCTATAAAACCTTCCTCCTTCCAGCGACAGCGACGTCGTGAGAGATTTCTCATTTTAACGTTCTGAATCAACATAAACGACATGAAGTCCGTTGATAAGAAAGGTCGTTAATGATTCATTCCAATGTCTTCTACAACAAAATCCGAACTCCAGCCACGTGAGTCTTGCACAACGCAATGTCTGAGTAAGAAGGGCTCAGTACAGCTATTTTTGTGTGCTACCTCCTTGGAAGATTTTCCAAAATTCTCCTCCTGTGTGAAGTCAAATATATTCACATTCTTAAAGCATCTGTTACTCTAAGGACACAACACCCGACAGCAAGCAAAAGTGAAAACTTTCACCTGTGCACTTCAGGGACACCTCTTCCCAGCACCAGTCTCCCCTGTGTGCAACACCTTACACCTTTCAAGAGACACAGCGAGCCGAGACTGGGAAAAGAGCTTGGGGATCCTTGCTGGTGAACACATCTCACTCGACTGCATATGGCCTCACAGATGCACCAAGAGACTTTAACAGTCTGGCTGGAAAAGCCAAGACACTGTGGCAAAAAAATGCCCTACATGAAGGATCTCGGTGGGTGAGACCCCAGTGGAAAGAAGGGGTCATCAGAGAACTTCCACTTTGCTTATGTCCCTGTCTAAATACTGACGGAGTTTGTGGATTCAAAAAGCTTCCATAGCCTTGGCAGCTCACGTCAAGAGCCTCGGGTGATCACTGACATCACACATGAGTGTTAATTGTTAAATCAACAACAGGAGTCATGGTGCACTAACTCCCCATGCAGGACCTCTGTCCTCAAAGAGCTGTATTATAATTATATCTAAGTGCTCACAAAAGGTGTATCACTCTTGGGTGCTTCTTTAATTAAAGTTAATTAAATTTCTAAAAAAAAAAAAATAAAGAAGTGAAACTAACTTTGAGATGCAATGACTATGAACAGCTCTTGTCTCCACTGTTGAGGAACAGGTTTGTTTGTATTCATGCAAATTGTTGAACTCTTAGTATAGAGTTGGTGTTCTGTGTATAAAGTTCGTCAAAAATGGATTTTAGTGGAGAATGGGACTGCGAATGGGAGACAGGGTGAGGGGTAGGAGTGTGGGTGGAAGGGCAGGTATGGTGGGAAAGAATCACCATATACCTACCTAAAGTTGTACTTATGAAATGCATGAAGTTTGTATTCCTTAAATAAAAGGTTTCTTTGTGTGTGTGTGGGGGGGGGGGTCTACCTGGAATTCTTACCTTCATTTTTATATCACTGTTTCTATGAA